AATTCTAATGTGAATTCACAATTCTAAATCAATCCTAACAAATTTTTTTTTTAAGTACAAGGAAGTCTGTACAGATTCCAAGGTCTTTATCGAAGACTCGGCTTCTAAAGAAAAAATGAGCCCCTGGCAGAAATGCTGCTAAAACACAACTCACAGTTTCTCTTTGCCAGTCAGCCTCTCTCCTGAGGCAGGATCTCCAAGTAGGTCTGAAAGCTACACCTGTGTGGCAGGGGTAGGAGTCAGGAGAGGAGGTAGAAACACTGCCTGCTCACACCCGGGTGCCAGTGTGCTGCCTGCTCCGGCCTCCTGCCAGCAGCTCACAGTCTCGGGATAACAGCCCCCAAGAAACACTGAGGAGGATGGGAAGGTCCCGGCAGGGGTGAGAGAATGATGACTCTTTCCGAAGGCGACTACTAGTCAGCTGACCTCCTCTAACATCCTAGCCTGCTCCTATTAGCAAGGCACTCTCTTGTTATTTATGTTACTCACCAGACTCCACAAGTGAGCAAGATTTTGCAAACAGGGTGACAGAGCCAGTTGTGACCAGGTCCTTCCCACAAAATGATCTGTCACTGCTCCCTGAGACACAAACTACCCAGCAGGCCACCAGGTACAAAGTGCACAACTTTCCCTCAGTCAGCAAGTGTTTACTAGAGCAAGTGACGGTAAACGTTCTGGAGTGCCCTTCTGGCTGCCATGCAGAATCATATTCTCACTTGCAAGTGCTGGCTGACTTCCCCACTTAGATGCCTGCAAGCATCTCAGAGTCCAAAGTTTATTAGTGGTTCCCAAGGGTGGGAGGGAAGGGGAAAGGGGGAGGTACTGTTAGGGGGCACCGAATTTCTGTTAAGGATGACAGAGTAATCTGGAAACAAATGGGGGTGATGAGTCTGTCTACCCCAACAGAAGAGGAAAAATAGCTTCCTGTGACTGACTTGGAAGAAATCACCTACTACACTCTCAACTATGTGCTTTGGTACATTATGCAAAGGAGTGAAACAAGAAAGCCTAGAGCTCTCTTTGACTATTGAAATAGAAACTGAAACTGTAGTTGTATACAAACTAGAGCACTGCACAATGAACATAATCAATGCCACGGAATTTTATACACTAAAAAAAAAATGGTGAATTGGCAAATGTTTTGTTATATATGTTTTTACCACAATAAAACACACAAAAACGCATCTCAGAGTTAATAAGCCCAAAACCTGTTTCCCCACACCCCTCCCCAAATGTGAGTCTCCCTAAACACTCCCAATCTCAGTAAATGCCTCTGCCATCCACGGGGTCGCTTCTATGTAAACACTCAGTGATATCTTTGAATCCTGTTTCCTCCACCCTTCCACCTTCAGATGCAATCCAGGGAGCAACCTTGTCCACTGCAGCTCCCAAATCTAGGCACTTTTCTCTTACATTCACAGCCACCTGATCCAAACCACCATCTTTCTTTTCTTGCCTCCTTACTTGCCTCTGATCCCATTACCTAGCCCACCCCACTCACAAACCGTGGTAGGCGACTACCCCAACTTTCAACCTGTCCCCTACATACACACACCGAGTCCACCCCACTGAGTCCTCAAGGTGTTGTTAGTCCTTTGTTCAAATGGCTCCAAAGGCTTCCTCCTGTCCTGAGAACAAAGTTCAGCCCTCCACAGAGCCTCCACCATCTGTCTCTCAGTGTGCTGTACCGCGGTGGCTGCTGTGCTACTGTGATGCTGCAGGCTAACCCACTGTTATTTCAAATACCAGCAGGGACACTCACGGTGGACAGGCTTCAGCAGAGCTTCCAAACTGAGACAGACTAGGGAGAGAAGCCTAGTGATCTAATTCCAAAAATGAACCAACGAAAACCCTACGGATCATAACAGAATACTGTCCAATATAGTGCTGGAAGATGAGCCTCTCGGTTCCAAACCAAACTCAGCGCCGTTGAGTCAATTCAACTCATAGCAACCCCTCCTTGGGTTTCCAAGGTGGTATCTCTATGGAAGTAGACTGCCCAATCTTCCTTCTGAGGAATAGCTGGTGGGTTTGAACCACCAGCCTCCTCGATTGGAAGGCACTCAGGACACACAGGGGCCACAACAATGGACGTAAGCTACCAACGACGCAGGACCGGGTGTCCTTTTGTTCTCTTGTATGCGAACTGCAGACGACTCAAAGACAACTGCAGCACTGTCAACTGCTTAATATGGCCCTTCTAAACATCGCCCTCCATTTTGTGATGTATTGTAAATTCTAGTCTTTATGCCTGCTTAGGGTGGGATGTACCTTGAGTTCCACCTCGCTGGAGGATGTGACTCAAGTCACCACCCATTCTGTGATGTAATGTCAATCCTATTCTCCATGCCTTTTTAGGGTGGGATGTTAGAGATCACTGTCTCGCTCTGGTTGTGTGTTTGGTTTGTCATCATCTCACCCCCGGACTTGAGACAGCAGCCGTCATCTGACCTGCTGATTGGGGTTTGCCAACCCCTACAACCACATGAGTTGGGAGAGTCCTCCAAACCCACCCACAGACCTGGGACTTGCCAGCCTGCCAGCCTCCCAGCCTCCACCACTACCACCACGATGTGAGCCATTTCCTTGGGAGTTTGTGAGTTCTGTGAGATGTTTCAGTGAACTACAGAACCCTAAGACAAGAGGGAGATTACTGAGGGGAGGAGGAGATGATGTCAGAGATGAGGGAGTGGCATGGCAGTTTGGAAAAGTTGGACATTTGGGACATCTTTAACCTCTGCCTCATAGGAGATCAGCCTTGTGCTGATCTTTCTAAAATAAACTACCCAAGCAGCGACTGACTACACAAGAACAGGGCCTACAAAGCTCTTTATGAGCCGGCCCATCTTCACTTTAATACACTCACCCATGGCTAACTCCCTGTTCTCGTCTACCAATCCTCTTTCCCCCTGTATCTGTACTAGCTACACAGTCTTCTTCCTGCTCCTTGTCCCTGCCTCTCAGCCTTTCATATACTCTTCCCCAGATACAAATTTCCCAAGGCTGCCTCACAGTTTCAGTTCAAAAATCTTCTCCAAGGCCTTCCTGGACCACCCCATTAAATATGACAGCCTGTAAGTCACTCTCCATCACATGCCTCGCTCTTATTTTCTTCATGGGAGCTGGGACATCTCCTACCCTATTCACTGTCGTATGTCAAGTGGCCAGCACGTAGCAGGTGACCAGTTACTTCCGTGCATTCCACCAGTAGCATCTGCTATGCCCCAGGCACTATTTTAGGTGACAAAGACAGTGGTAAACATGACCAAGATCCTACTCTCATGGAGCCTTCTTCCCCTAGGGGAAGTGTGCCAATAAATACCAACAGGTGATATGTAGCAAGAAAAATTAAGGGTAAGGTAGACAGAGTGAAGGAGCAGTGCTTAGGACAACCAGAGAGAAGGCCTCACCAAGAAGGCAGCCTTTGGGAGAGACCAGAAGGAAGAAGGTAAAGGAGTGAGCCATGGTTGTCTTCCTCAGGCAGAGGAATGTACAAAGGCCCTGAGAAGAGATCAAGCTGGGTGTTTAAGGAACAGCAAGGGCGCCATTGTGGAAACTGATGTACAAGGTAGAGAGTAGTGGGAGATGAGGTCAGAGAGACAGTGGGAGGGCTTGCAGGCCACTGAAGGCACCTGGACTTTACTCAATAGTGTCACTCATAGTTGAGAAGATGCTGGAGGTTTCCGAGCAGAGGACCGGCAGGACTTGATTTATATTTGTAAAGGATCACTCTAGCTGTTTGGAGAAAATGTTGACAGGAGCAAGGCTGAACACTGGTAACAGCTTACAACAGAAGGTAAGAGGGGACTGTATTCTGGATATCTGTCCAAGGCAGAGCCAACAGAATTTGCTGACAGGCCGTGGGTATGAGAGAAAGAGAAGTCAGGGATGACCCCAACTTCAACTCCAGCAATAATGGAGTTGTTATTTACTCCCAGGCTGAAGAGGGTGGGGGACTCTGTTTTGGACAAGTTTGAGATGCCTCTCAGTCACCAGTGGTGATTTCAAATAGACGGTTAGAATGTACAAGTCTAAAAATCAGGAGATAGATCTGGCCTGAAGATATCTGTGTTGGTATCTGAGAATCTTCAGTTTACAGAGAGTACTTCTAGACAAGGCTAAATGAGATCATCGAGGGAGAGAGGAGGTCCTATAACTGATCTCTGGGGCACATGATAACAGTTAACGGTTAGGAAGATGATGAACCAGGAAAAAAAAAAGGTTTAAAAATAACAGCCAGTGAAAGGAAGAAGACAAGAGTGTTGCCCACTGGCCAAAAATGTGTTAAAATGTCAGCTCTTGATCCCACCTGCCACTAACTAAAATTTAAACCACGGAACACCGTGAATACAGAGAATCCTCAAGAAACTACCAATCACTTTGGACTTTGCTTCTTTCATACTCTCATAATAACACACCTTACATTTCTGACGCAAGTATTCTTTACTTATTTCTTCAAGCATTCAGCTACTAGTTTAGTGCCTCGGGGGAAAATGTAAATAAATAAACCCATTCCTTGCACTTCAGACCTTAAATCCCTCCTATAGGGGGGAAAAATTTTTTTAAATTCCACTAACCAGACAAGAGCTACGTTGGCTAAGGTGACACCCTCACGCCTCCCACGTGGTTGAGAGGTGAGAGCGGTGAGAGGACCACTCCGAGAGGTCCCAACACCGGCATCAAGTACATTGACAAGTATCATTAACTTACCTTCTCACTGCCTCCTTCACTGAGTAATGAGGGCAAGAAACACAATCTTAATATAAGGGTATGATCAGTCCCTTCCCACAGGGGCAAAGCTCACGTCTCCAGCTACATAAGCCCTTGCTCCCGACCCTAAGCCTCCCCACCACGGCCCCCAGGACCCCGCCCTAAATCTCAGGAGTACGACGCACTACATATCCCACTAGGCAACGCGTGGCCACAACAAGCCGGCAGCCGCTCCGCCGCCGCGGGGCCGCCTGGGAAACGCAGTCTCCACTGTTCTCAGTCGACAGTACCTGGAAGCGATAGAGGAAGGCTTCGGGCCAAAGGAACAAGTACGCGGGGCTGATGAGGCCGAGTTTGCCGACCAAGGGCACCGCGACGCTGGCAGCGAACCAATAGCGCGTGATGGCCGGAATGCTCCTGAACCAGTCCCCGATGTCCGACATCTTCTCTTCTCAGGAAGCCAGGATGCACACAGTCACCCAACTCCCCGCCTCCGCCCCCTCACGACGCGGCCGGCTCCGCGAATGGAAGGTATTGAGGCGGAAGCCCCTGAAGCCTCGGTGCAGAAGGCGGAGACGGGCGGACGTGGCGCCACCGAATTCGGACGAGCGAGGGAGCGTTCTCAGGCGACACTTCCTCTTCCGGCGGCCGCAGACTACGTGTCGAGAAGTCCCGCCGCTTAAAGGGCGAGCGCCACTTTTTCAGCGGGACTAGGCTCGGCGGTCCCAGAGGGAGAGCCGAAGAGGGGAGGGAAGGGGCGGAGCCTTGACTGGGGTTGTGAGAAATAGTGGTTGCCAGCATCAACGGCAAATGCTCCAGCCAATGGCCAAGCCGAATGGTCTTCAACGTTTTCACCCTGGAGGTGGAATCCAGGTGGGTCTACTTGTTGGTGTTTAAAGAATAAAGAAGAAATTAAAGCAGTTTGTTCTTCATTTGTTCATTCATTTAACAATGTTTGTTGAGGACCCATTAAGTGTCAGGCAAAGTTTTAGACACCGGGCATGCTCAGGCTGTCAGAGACGACCTTCTCTCCTGAAGCTTACATTCTAATGGGGATGGACAGATAATGAATAATCTAATAAGATAATTTCAGAGAGCGATAGGAAAAATAAAATAGGATGGTAGTATAGAGTGACATGAGTGAGGTTGGTGTGGGGAGAGAGAATTATTTAAGATGAGGCTGTTCAAGGAGGACTTCTCTGAGGAGGTGACGCTTAGGCTAAGCCAGTGTTGAAGACTGTTGGTACTGTCGAGTTGAACCCGACTCATAGCGACCCCTGTTTGGGTTTCTGAGGCAGTATCACTACGAAAGTAGATTGCCCCATCTTCCTTCTGAGGAGTAGCTGGTGGGTTTGAACCGCCAGCCTTCTAGTTAGCAGTCAAGTGCCTTAGCCACTATGCTACCAGAGCTCCCAGTTGAAGACTGTTGTTGTTGTTGTTGTTATGTGCCTTGGAGTCAAACCCGACTCATAGCGACCCCTCCTTGGGTTTCCAAGGCAGTATCACTACGGAAGTAGGATTGCCCAACCTTCCTTCCGAGGAGTGGCTGGTGGGTTTGAACTGCCAGCCTTCTGGTTAGCAGGCAAGTGTCTTAGCCACTATGCTATGCCAGAGTTGAAGACTAGGCGAAGAGTTTTTCATGCAGAGAGAACAGCCACTGCAGCTAACTTGGAGTGCTGGAAGAACTGAAAACAGTAGTGATCTTAACTATTAATCTAGTTCATCAGGCAGACTTAAATTACAAGCAGATAACAGTCTATCTCAAAAAAAAAAAAAAAAAAAGTAACGCAATATTAAAGGAATTTTTCCAGTTGTTTTCAGATTTAGGGTCTACAGTTTAGGATTGGTAAAACCACAGGATAAAGACCACCAGGAAGACACTCATAGTCAACATAGTTGGATTTACTAACTTTCTGCAACAGGGGATACACACCAGAGGAAGCAGGGCCATGTCACCAAGGGAAATAGGGTAAGAGGAAGGGTGAAGTCTGGTACAACTTGAATGCAGCGATGTTTTGTTTGTTTGTTTTTGTTTTTTAATTGTGCTTTAGGTGCAAGTTTACAGAGTGAAGTTCGTTTTACATTCAACATTATGTGTACATTTAGTTTTATTCCCCATTTGCCATCCCCAGCCCTAACCCAGTCTCCTCCCCTTCCTGCCCAGTAATCTCCCCCATACCCCTCATAGTTATGCACTCCTGTGTGCCCTGCATTTCCTCCTTGCAAAGGTTGCCCCTCTAGTGCCCTGTGGTCAATTGCTCCAAGGGATGCATTTCCATAGAGTATGTGGGTACGTCACCCTGGGTTGAGTGGTCTGTGTGTACATCTTGTTTACTATTGGGCTGAGAGCCCACCCCTGGGAGTGAGTTTTATTCCAGGCCCAGAATGTATTCCAGGGCCATAGTATTAGGAGTCTCACCAGATTTCATCCGACCAGTAATTCTGGTCATTATTGAGTTTTTGGATTTTGTTCCATGTTTTCCCTCCCACTCTATCCAGGATCTCCAGATTTAATCCTTTCCTGAGTGGTTGGCATTAGTAGCCAGGCACCATCTAGTTCTTCTGCTCTCGAGGGCCATTGTGTCCTAGGGCTGATTGCTTCCAAATGCCCTTGTTTTGTTTTGTTTTTGTTTTTGCATTCTTCTTCACTTCCAACAATAGGAGACCATTAGGTCCATCTTAGATGGCTGCTTGAAAGCTTTTAAGACCCCAGTCACTACTCACCAATGTAGGATGAGAAACAAGATTTTTATGTATTTGGTTGTGCCAATTGAGTCTGGTGTCCCCCAGTACTATGGCCCTGAGTCAGTAGATCCATTGGATCTCTCTCCCATAGTGTCTGGGTGTCTGTGAGGGATTACGCTATGTCTGTCTGCTGTAAGAACTGCAGGTATTTTGTATCACTGGTATCTGTGCAAGATTAGCCTCCGTGAAGCAGTGTTTTGATAGGTTTGAAGCAGAGTAGGGCTTTGCCTTAGGCCTGAGCTGAGAAGCAAACCCAGGGACCTCTTTCCTTAAAAACCTCAAAGTTGAGATAAATGTGGAACATTGAATCTGAAAACTCCTGATCTAAAGTTTTGCACCTGAGTGGAAAATCCTGTGCCAAAGTGACCTGCGTGGCTCAGATTCTCAAGGCAAAGTGTGGGATCTTCCATTTATGCTGGTATTATTTCAAACGAAGCAGCTTCTGACAGTCTGCTATTTTAGAGAATGTCCCTGAGCACCATGTCCTAGATGTTAATTAACAAAAGAGGTTTTTACAGGATAATAAGGCACTAAATATTCCACAATCAAATACCTGTATGCAACATTTGGGGACCTAATGAATATCGAGTTGTAAAAAGGTATGGGGAGGCATCATCTGACCTCCTCTAACTTCACAAGAGGGAGAGAAAAGCACCATCGACAGCATCAGCCCAAAGCTGATTCCTGTGAGACAGAGGTCAGGTGTCACCACACTCCAAACTTTCTACCAATTCTGACATCAACTGTCCCCCCCGACAGCACTCGACTTCTCTGCTAGGTTAATTTGTTGCAATGGCCACAAACAACTCACAGACAATACTCATGATTATGGAATTTATTATGGAAGTAACTGGTTACAACTCAGGTTCAGAAATACTCAGAATACAATTCTTGGATCAGGACATTCTCCCTCAGCCATTCCCATAGGCGTGCTTCTCTCTGGCCTCGACCTCTGCCCTGCTCAGGCCAGTGTTGCAAAGCTCCCTTAGTTTTACCACGTAGATGCCCAGAGAGGCACCCTGCTCCACCAGCAAGCCTCCTGACAAAAGCACTCAGCTTTCTCACTCTGTGGAAGCCTGCCACTCTGTCTCACGCAGGTCTCGGTTTTGCGTTATCTGCTGCCACAATCTCTGTCATCTCAGCTCAGGGGTCTCAGGTCCAAGGATGCACTCCACTCCTGGTTCTTCATCTGTCTTGATGAATAGTGAGATCCCCCTTTCTGCCTCCAGGAGGGCTCATTTTAAACCTAGTGGAATGGCAAAACTGACCGATCTCCATGTTAGGGTTCCATACACCTTATTTCCGTGGTCCCACCCCCACAATGGTGCCATGTACATTTATTACATTTTTAGCAAGCTATCCAATCCCCTTGTTGGGCCACAAAACTCAACTCTCACTGCCGTCGAGTCAGATCCAACTCAAAAGTGTCCCCTCCTTGGGTTTCCAAGGCAGTATCACTACAGAAGGGGATTGCCCAAACTTCCTTCCAAGGAGTAGCTGGTGGGTTTGAACCACCAGCCTCTGGTTAGCAGTCAGATGCCTTAGGCACTATGCCACCAGAGCTCCTTGGTGGACCACATGCACCTCACATTTACATAATTCTATCCAGTCGTCTGGTGGGCGGCACAAAGATCTTGGCTAGAAGAGCCATACCAAGTAATTCCCTGCCCTGCACAAGTGTAGTCAATGTATGATGAACCTGCCCACACACTCCTACACAGGTGGTAGGAATGCAAATTGTACAGCCTTACAGAAAGATCATTTTGGTACAGAAGAAAAACTGGAAGGATGTATAAGCAATAGATAATTTTTCAAAATATTCCCTGAGGTTCCTTCCCTATACTGCACCCTACTCCCACCATTTTCTTGTATCCACTCCTTACTGTACCAGGAGCAGAAGAGGGATTATCTAGAATAGGTCTGTGCCAAAGAAGCTTTCTCTCATGAACTCATGAGTGTGTGTGCATGGGAAAAAGATAAGAACCACATACATTAAGTGTCTAGGGGCATCTATTCATAGGTTGTGCAGTTCTAAGGGAATTGTATTTGAATGAGTCCTCTAGAGTTCAACTTTAGACTTTACAAACACTCAAGTTTAAACCATAACTACAACACTTACTAGCAATGTGCTGTTGAAAAAATTGCTTTACTTCTCTGTGCCTCAGTTCTTCGCTATAAAATGGAGGAGTAAGGAATAATAATAGTACCCAACTCATAAGATTATTGTGAGAATTTAAATGAGATAAAATTATGTCCAGTGCTTGAAGCATGATCTAAACATGAGGACTACTCTCTTTTTCACTTATTTATTTTGAAATGTTTTTCAACAAAAATCATTTGTGTAAAAAAAGTTGATTAGAGAAATTGTCTGCCTGAAAAGTCTCTTATTCTAAGGATAGATCAGTCGTTTCCAAATGATAGTGTGTATAAAATCACCAATGAGAACGTGGCCTCAGAGATTTCAGATTTCATAGATCTGAGGACCCTGAAACCTGCATTTCTCAAAGTCCTGCCACCTCCCTGGGTAGTTCTTATGTAGATGAGAACCATCAGACTAGGTGGGCTTTCAGGATTTTTCTGTTTTACTTTATAAACGCACTATACATTGTCATGGGAGCTCTGGTAGTATAGTGGCTAAGGCATTTGACTGCTAACCAGAAGGCTGGCGGTTCAAACCCACCAGCCACTCCTTGGAAGGAAGGTTGGGCATTCCTACTTCCGTAGTGATACTGCCTCAACCCCCCAGCCACTCCTCGGAAGGAAGGTTGGGCATTCCTACTTCCGTAGTGATACTGCCTCGGAAACCCAAGGAGGGGTCGCTATGAGTC